TTTTGAATAATCTGATGCCGAATAAACCTACACTGACTCTTGAATATTATGATCAATTTTCGAGAAACTTACTTTTGGAACAAATGAAATATTGAGAATTTTAATGAGGACGTTTTATTCAGCCACCATGTAGATTTTGGTTTCATATTTTGTCACAAATGACATCAAGATGCCTAACCGAAATCGATTTCGTTTTAACTAGTTTTCAATCCGACAAGTAGGCTTACTCAGATCGGGCTTATCCAATGCCGCTGCCATTCCGCTTCCGCTGACATTGCGCTTGGGTCTTAATGCCTTCATACCAAGTGGTAAGATAGCTCCTAATCATAAGCAATTCTACAGGTGCTTTTGAGGCACCTCAAGTAACTCACATTACTCGGTGAGCAAGATCACTGTCATTTTGCTTTCCCACTTTTCGCATCACAGCAACATATGGCGGTACGAAGCCGAAAAGCTACTGTCAAGCAAAACAACAACAAAAAGGAAACATCCGGCTTGATGTGATAGAAGAACTCGCTTCACCTGACCAAATACTCCAGATTCGGCAAATTATACGTACCCCACACATCCTCTGACCTCTGACACTCGTCGAAGCGATCCCGTTTCCGTCACTCACCACCCTCCTGCTAGATGAAACTGTGAACCAACCACTGGATTCCATTGTGCCGTTCTGCTGCGGGCGGACATCCTCCCACTTCTGATGCTACTGCTGTGCTTTCTGAATGATCTTGATGTGGACAGTTTTCTGCGATACAGTACCAATATTCTTCTGTGGCCGTTGACTGAAATCTCCGTTGAAGTTGAACATAACTACTTTAAAGAAGGTGTTTCATGCAGAAGGACATGGAAGTTTTTTTTTCGTTGTTTTATTGGGATTTTTTACTATTATTTATTTTATTCGGAGCATGGTTCGTTCTTCGGTTTCTCGTCGGAAAAGTCTATAGCGATGATCCTGTACTTGGTTGGATCGGATTTACTCTTCAGATCGCCAAAACCACTTTCCTTCCACTATTTCTGAACCGTCTGTAGGAGCTTGGAGTGAACGAAGAATATTTGTTCGTTGTATTCCTCATCGTCCGGTAGATCGATGATGGGTTTGAAGTCCAGATGAGAATCATACTCACCGGAAGCATTGGCAGTTGTGTCTTCGGCTTCGGTAGTGTCGGCTGCATTGATGCTGTGACTGAACATTCCGGGGTAATGATTGGCAGCATTGCCTTCGGACATCATATCAAGAAGACTTTGCCAGAATCTAAGCGATAGATACAGTAGCGCTGCGCTTGAGTGAAGGTGGAAGCAACGCATAGAAAAATTAGCAAATACACAAACCTTTCTTCTGAGGATGTAATCTTTGCTATCAAATTCGTTCAAAGCATTTACTTTTGAGCGGCAGATGACGCAATTGTACCTGTCTCATAGCGTTCGTATGAGAAACTAGAAGAGTTGCCAGTCTTCTTGATATGTTGTCTTCGCTTCGGAGCTGGAATTGAGTATCGGGTGTATCGGTTTTTACCACACAGGGTAGATATTTTCTATGCAGGCCGGTGATTTTTCGCAACGATTTCACGTTCTCCTCGGTGTCCATCTGGTTATCCTCTGGTTTTTTTTTACGAGAACAAATCTCGATTACTTTTTCGAAGGGACGTATCAACAACAACAACATCAGCAGTCATTCCTCAACAACAAATTCATATCGTTCCAATTAGAGAGGGTCTAGTATAAGAGAGAAACGGACTGACTGGTTTTGAGCCAAACTAAATTTCAAAACTTGAGCTAATCGAGCTGCACCTTTCTTGATTGCATTGGCAGTGTTGCTAGAAACCACCTAGGCATATTTTTTTTTTTTTTTCCTTTGGTTTGTTTTTTCCGTCGATCTTGTTTTCCGTGCTGAGCACCAATGCTACCGACGTGCCACGAAGGCAGCTCCCACACCTGGACCCTACCTATCGACCCATCAACTCATGAACCGGGGACCAACGGCTTTACTTCCCATCCGAAGGAAGGCGTGATCAGAGATGTTATGCCTCAAGACTCAAGAACATCCCGGCGGCGCCGACTGGGATTGAACCCAGGCCTGCTGGGGTGAGAGGTAATCACGCTTACCACTACACCACCGGCGCCGTTACCCCTAGGCATATGTTGTCAACGTATTTTGTTTTGAATCAGCTACTCTCTTATACTAGACCCTCTCTAGTTTCAATAGCCGATCTTTACAATTTTACTTGTCTTTCTTCTTCTTCTTCTTCTTCGCATTTCAAGCTTATTGCATATCGCATATTAGCTTATTGCGTGCTCTCAACTTAGTGTTCTAGGTGCACTTCCACAGTTATTAATTGAGAGCTTTCGATGCCTGTACCATTTTTGCATTGATATGATGGTGTGGCAAGTCCAATCATACTTCTATGCCCAGGGAAGTCGAGAAATTTTCCAACCCGAAAAATTCCTAGACCGAACCGGGAATCAAACCCAGCCACCTCCAGCATGGTCTTGCTTTGTAGCTGCACATTTACCAACTGAGCTAAGGGAGGCCCTTACTTGTCTTCACAATGTCTAATATGTGAAGGGGGTAAATGGAGTAAGCCGAGGAGTAAACATCGATAAACGTCGATTAAATTTTGAGGTGCATTGAGTTACTCGCGAGTTACTCGCTGTAACTCAGAGTAAAGCTGTCTCCCCCCTTGCTTCATACTATAGGCTGTGTTCCATTTGGCGAATTTTTACTTAAATTTGACAGATGGAAATTTTTCAAATAAACCTGCTATTGTTCCAGACTTATTTCTGACAGACAAGGAATCAATTTTGACGCACACCTTCTCGAAAATCGGCCAATCAACAACAGAGGGATTTTCGAACATCTTAATTTATTTTTGAAGTGTCAAATTTAAGCGAAAATTCACCAAATGGAACACAGTCTTGGTCTTACTATAGAGGTAACTCTAAGACTAGAAGGTTCCGAAATAACGTGCTCAACTTTTTGGCTCAGCTCTGGTACCATAGAGGTAGAAATGTGCGCCGATTAAACGGCAAAAAGCTCTATTGTTCCAGACTTATTTCTGACAGACAAGGAATCAATTTTGACGCACACCTTCTCGAAGATCGGCCGATCAACAACAGAGGGACTTTCGAACATCTTAATTTATTTTCGAAGTGTCAAATTTAAGTGACAATTCAGCAAATGGAACACAGCCTTAGTTGTTTTCGAATTGACGAGCACAATTTGCGTGAATCATGCTTTCCTATAACATTATCTAGAAAGCTCTATCTATTTTCCGCAACGCGGCGCGACATGTACCAATCATAATCACAGAGGAAAAGGAGGAGCTGTCAAATTAGCACCAGAGCACCAGAGAAATTTGGCTTCACTCGAGTTGTTCGCAAATGACAGGCATTGCAGTCCTGTGGACTTACCCCTTAGGCAAAGGGCTCATTGAGATCAATTGGATTTACCATATAAAAATGGAATGGAACTTTGGCTTTGCTGCTTACCACCCAATATACGAATTCATGCATTAGTTGGTATAGAAAGCTATGAATTAATAACTGTTGAGAGGCAGGCAAAACGCTCGCTTAAGAAGCGTAAAAATTAAATAATAAGCAGAAGAAATCCAAAATATTGAAAGTTTTTTTTTTTAACTTTATAATAGAGATTTTTAGTCGAAGGCTAGTTCATCTCTTAAATATTGAAAGTGACGAAATCGAATTGACGCTGTTCCTGTTGAAGCGATCATATTGAATTCAAGAACATGATCAAATCATAAACTCAGGGCTGCAACTAATAAGCGTTGATCTAGGGTTAAATCAAAGTCACCAAAGACAGAATGAAGAATTGGTCATAAACAAGATCATCCATAGACCATTCATAATATTGTGACAAGCCAAAGCCGATGAAAAATCAAACTGGCGACGGCGTTTAAATTTCTGCAAACCACCAGTCAACCCAACACACTTGCTGGCCTAAATTCATTCAGTGTCGCGCCAAGAGGAAATTACATAATTCCATCGTAAAGTAGAAATAACCAACAGCAAGTGGCCAGATGATAGACACATAAAATCTCCTCTTTCCGCTCAAATAGATAGATCTAGCTGACCCGTACCAGTACATGCAGTGAAACACGCTAAACTTGTTGAAATTCAACACGTTTGTCTCATGTACGGCGAGACCAAATGCTCATCAATGGAGACCGGCCTACTCGGTGGTTGTCTGTGAACATTTCACCCGAAAAAAAAAGAGAACCACACATGGCATACCTCTAGTAGACCTTGAAATGATCAGCCCGAGCTTTCCTTCGCTCGGGCAGTCGTTTTTTTTTGCGCTCCTTTCGCTTTCGGCGGCATTCATCGTCAGGTGCGCTCTTCCATCCACCAATAACAGCTGAGAGCTGCGCCATGCCAACAAAAAAACGTACGCCTCAATAGCTGGTAAATGAACTCCGCAATATTGGCGCTTAGAATCACTGAATATCTCATAATTTTTTTACTATAAATTGAGTTAGCGTTTTTTTGTCTTCTTCTCCGGAACCGATCAAGCAGGTCGAACAGAAGTCAGTTCCGATCGGCCTTACTCTCGTTGTATTCTAACAGAGACTAATGTAGGATAGATCGGTCGTGAACTTGACCATGGCCAACTGTTTCGCGCGCTGTATATGCTGTCACGCGTAGCGACGGCGTTGCTATGGAATGTTTGAAAATTGTGGCGACGATAAGACTGACTAACTACTGTGGATGACTGGGCAGACAACCGGTAGGTTTCGCATCGTCGGGTGGATATATTCCGTCTATGACTGGGTCAAGCAGAAGCCCCGCGTGTAACAATTCCAAATTTGATTAACCATCATTGATCGGTTTTCTCTTCCAAATAGCCGGCCGTACAACAGGCCGAATGAAGTGGTGCGTGAAACTGGTTCTGTTCTGACTTTCGAGTTTTGATTGTATCACTTCTTGATGTGTGTGTGTGTGTGTGTTGCTCTAACCTCGAAGTTTGCATGTTTATTGCATTACAGTTTTGGCCGAACCATGGAAACCGCTGGAGGATCACGACAGCGGGGGAACAGCCCTACTCGATCACTACTTCGTTCACCATTTTGACCAAGAAGAACCGGACTCGGAACCGGCTCCCTCCTACGCACTGCGGGCCCTATCGATCAACTGTGAGTGCGTGAAGCTGAGGCATTGTCCCAAAATCCTGGAGATGCTGAGAACGCCCAAGTCCAGTTATAGCAGCTTCAATTCCAAGCTGAAAAGACTAACTTGCGGGTATAGTATGGGTCGTGAACCGAACATCTGCTGCCCCTTGGACGACAGTTGGCTAGCGGACGAGGCAGAATCAAGCAGTTCGCAACCCGGACCCAGTTTCGGAGATCGTAGGAACTCCTTTGGAGACCCGGGCAATCTGAAATACTTGCAAAATGGGCCAAATCAATTTGAATTTTCAAATAGCCGAAATACGGCGAAAAACAACTTCATCACTTCGTTCGAAGATCCAAAGACCATGAAGAACTGCCCACCGGTGATCTCTCAGGAGGATGAATTCAAGCGACCCACGACGAAGGTCTATGTGGCGCCAGCTATTCGTCGGAGAACTACTACCACTCCTTCCCCTCCTCCTCCTCCTCCTCGTCGCACAACTACCACCACAACCACCACGACTACCACTACAAGGGCACCACTAAGATCAGTTTTTGGTGATACCAGGACCGGTGATGAAGTGATCACCATTGAACCGGTGACCAGTTTTCCGGTGGTTGACGCTACGGATCGTCTGGTGGCCACCGTACCGCCACCGATCATCAACGATGCACTGTGTGGATTGTCCGTAAATACTCGGATCATTGGCGGAGAGACGGAAATTCCCGGACAGTTCCCCTGGATGGCACGATTGGCCTACCGAAATCGAAGTATGCTGCCGGATCATGATCGATGATCACTACTAATCAGAGGTCTTTTGTTTCTTTCTTTGCAGCCTCAGGCCGAGTGACTTATCGTTGCGCGGGATCTCTCGTCACCAACCGACATGTGATCACGGTTGCACACTGCGTGACCAACTTGATCGACGAGTTAGAATTGTAAGGATTGCTACTGATCTTTTTGTTCAATGTATCATGTGTTTTTGTTTTTTCTAGACTGAGCGTACGGCTAGGTGATCTTGAGTGTAATTCGGTAACGGACAATCGGTGCAACTCACGCTACCAGGATTTTGCGATCGAGCGCTTGATACCGCACGAGAACTACGACACTCCGAAGTATGCCAACGACATTGCTCTGGTTAAACTGCTGCAAACAACTGAAACCTACAACATCTTGAGTCCGCTTTGTCTACCGATGGATCAGTACTGGAGCTACGGAAGAAACCTAACCGGAAGGATGGGCATCATTGCCGGATGGGGTTCCACCAGCAATCGTAAGTTGGTTCCGAGAGGGCGCGATCAACTAATCATTCTTTCGAAATTACTATTTTTAGGAAACAACTCCCCGAGTCCAACGCTCCAGTGGCTCCGTCTTCCGATCGTGGACACAATGCAGTGCGCCACGTCGTACGCCCGCTACAGTGTCAACTCGCGCAACCCTATCATCGTTTCCGGCAACCAAATGTGCGTCCAAGGCCAGGAGAACATGGACGCCTGCCAGGGTGACTCGGGAGGGCCACTCATGAACGAAGCCATCTCCAGCCGGGACCGGTTCGTCCTGCTCGGTCTAGTCTCGTTTGGGCCTCGTACCTGCGGTGTGTCCAACTTTCCCGGGGTGTACACCCGGATCTCGTCCTACATCGGTTGGATCCAGCGGCAGGTAGAGCTGTAACGTCGCGATCGTTCGCTCTTAGTCTCTAGTGTAGTAACCAAATTGTAAATAGCTCATTTTTCAATTCGAACGAAAGATTATTGCCGCTAGGGTAATCAATTGAAATCAGAAATAAAATCGAAACGTGACTGAAGTAAATGTATGAAAACGATCGTACGGTCCTTGATTTTCGTACACCCACCCCAGACAAGGTCATCGGCAGAGAAGAAAGAGAGTAGTGCCGGTGCGATTTCCTATTTTTGGCGAAACACACAGTTGATCATGACTGTTTCTGTTTCGCGCTACCCGCCGCTAGGTGGCAACACTTTCCGATTAACTTATTCAAAAACATCGAATACAGTCATTGAGTGCACATCATCGATTTATTGCTCGTTATAATTAAAAAATCTCATTTAAACGTTAAGTTTCACTGTTCCAAGTTTTCTTCTATCCAGTCAACATACTTGGCTACATTGGTATACACGCCTGGCCATCCTTGCTGTCCACAGGGAGTTGGTCCGAACGACACCAAACCCACCAGATACCAATACTGAACGTTGGCATTCTGCGACACACCCATCAACGGACCGCCGGAATCACCTTGGCAGGAATCCTTGCCCACTTGTCCTCCAGCGCAAAGCTGCCGATCAAGCAGGGTAACTCGCTCCTGCTGGTACACTGAGTTACATTGTTGTAGATCTATGCCATCAACGCCGACCTTCTGTTTGACGGTACTGTACCGCTCCGTGGCCGTTCTACCCCATCCGGCAACCTGGAACTTCTGTCCGACAGTTTCCTTCACCCTGAGATCCTGCGTCCGGGGTAAGCAGATCGGTTTGACAAAGTCAGTGTATGTAATGCGATGTGCCATCCGGAGCAAAGCAATGTCGTTGTACTGTTCTACGGCTTGAGGATTATAGTCCGGATGGGGTATCTTGCGCTCGATCGGCACGTCGATCGGGTCCGGTGAGCAGTCAGTGTCCACTCCGAGACCTTCGCAATCCTGTGCGGTAGATGTATCCCATTCTCCAAGACGGACTTCAGCGCTACGGAGTCGAAAAAAAAGTCACGATCACAACGATCTTCAACTCACAACGTATGCTATTGACAACTTACAGATTCCAGGTGGTTGGAATATCTTTTCCGTTGACGCAGTGCGATGCGGTGACAACATAACGATCATTGATAAGCGCTCCGCCGCAGTGGAACCCGAATAAATCGTTTGCTAAATTTGAACGATCAAGCAAGAAAAAACCGTTATTTCAAGATGAGTTGTGTCATTTCTGCAGTAGTTGACTTACGTTTAGCATACTTGAGCAACGCCAGCCAAGGAAATTCGTCGATTTTGGTGTTGACACCACCCACGATCCGATCACTGGTTTGAACACCGCAGACTCCAACCGGTGGCAGGAAGGATTCCCCAACACGAATGGGGGTATCCAGCAGATTATCACAGCATACCAACGGATGATTCTCTTCCATGGACCATCCACACTGGCTTTGGCTGAGGAAGATACGATCTTCCTGTAGCAGAGGTTTCTTCTTGATCAGTGTGAACAAGGTATTACACGTTCGCAGCAGAATACAAGTTCCAACTTTCCCATCTGGTGTGGTACAAGTTTGTTCTACAATTCACACAAAAGTAGCGATCAGATTATATAATAATTAAAGCTTTCGGGAGAACCGGTTCTAGTACATTTCCAACGAAACAAGGTTATATTGAAGTTAAGATAACCTTCGACCTTGTTTCATCATCCAGCAGTAGAAAGTCCCGCACCGCAGTACTTACGGCCATCCACCACCGCGATCAGTAGTAGCAAGCCCAAAATGCAGATTCTCTCGATTAGCGTCATTGTTCCATCGGTCTCCCAACAATGCAGTCAGATTTACACCTTCCTATGGTAGAACAACACTCACACACAATTTGCCTTCGCACGCAGCTCGCGATCAAAGAATATTCCTCCGTTTGACTCCACGAACTCGACGCGACTAACACGAACCGGTGTGGGAACGGACCTAGCTGGGCTCGATGATGATCGCGATGATCACATACACACTGGAGAGCCTCGCATATACGTTCAGAGGGAAACCCAGCTCACTATCTAAACAAACAAACAGCATCCGAACTTGGAGAAGTCGAGTAAACGCTGGGTAGAGGTGTATAGGAAATCACAGAACTTGACTCATCTCACACCGTCACCGCGGGGATGATCATCATCATCATCATCTACTTTGTACTGGGTTGCGGGCGATGATCTGAAAATGTTGTATTTACGATCAAGTTCGCGGTGCAAAAACAGGAAAAGAACCATGTAGCGGACGCAGTAGGCACGGACACCTAATTGGCAACCAACTGAGTGGCTTGCTTTGTCGCGGCGGTCAAATAATTAATTCAAATTTCGGTCTTCACCGCTTCCTGCGATGGTATTCTGCTTGATGTTCTGTTATTAGGTGTCTGCTGCTCACCGGTTTTATTTTCCGAATTCTCTTCCTCTACGCGGTGTTTGTGCAACCGGGATTATGGTCAAATGTTGCAGATAACCGGTTTGGTTAACAAATAAATATCATCGGGTTATGGTTAATGATGCGGGCAAACTTTTTGTTTACATTTTTCTATTAAGATAGGATTTTCTGGTTATATTATTGAACTGTATGTATAAACATTTCAAAGTGTTCAAATGATGACCATTATTCGAATTGGAATTTTTACAATCTCTGAATAGATGTAGATGGTGAACCCCTGTTGACTTTTGGCACCCACCCTGTAGCACTGCCAGATGATTAGGTTAAATCGGATTCCTCTAAAATTAAAAAGCATTGAATCAACTTCAACTCAACAGAACAGCAATAGGGGATAGTGGGGTCTCTAAACCACATCTTTTTTACAATCCGTTGGGCAATACACTAGCTCGACAACCTTCTTTAACGCACAGCTCCTGAACAAACTTCTGTCTGGTATGGGTGTCGATTTGCTTTAACTTGCGGCTCACTCTTTCGCATTTCACAAAGGCTAATCACCCTTGATTGTCTTCACGAATCACTGTCGGCTCAGTTTGGGCTTCTCCAAGATTGCTTAGTAGTTTCCTGAGCCAGATAGCTTCCTGATAGGCTTCACTCAAGGCTACATATTTATTGGACTTCCATGGACGCTAGCGTAACGCTTGCTTGCTTTCGACTTGCCCACGAAATAGCAAGAAGAATACGGATTTCGAGGTTGATTGCCGGCTCTATCAGCGTCCGAGTACCCGTTCAACCGTTGACCTGGATTACCACAAACTCTGAGAAAGTAGGTACTGCTATACTTCAGATAGCGGATCACTCTTTTTGCGACAGTCCGATCGCGTTGTGTTGGTTCACAAAATGTTCTACCAAGAACAGCAGCCGTATTGGCTATGTCTGGTCTGGCCACTACTGCAAGATACAAATGACCTCCAACTCCAACAAAATAGACTCCGGTATCGTGTGGCATTTTCCAGAATTTCACCCGTTTCGACGGACTTGAGATATCCAGGATCCATAGGTGAGTTTAGTACTATGGTATCATTCATTCCATGACGAATCTTGACCAAACCTTGCCCCCGCTTTATCTCGGATCCCATGAAGTGAAGTACAGATCCCTGAGACGTCAAATCGAGTTCCGCCTTCAGGCTGTTGAAGAACTTCAAGATTTACTCCCCTTCTGAGGACGATGGAACCAGTAGACCAACAGAAACGCTTGGCAATCACTCCCTCGCACGTAAAGGCAAGGATCAGCCGTTGACGCCTTAAATCTGAGCTTCAAAAGAACAGCTTTAAGTCGCTGATTGTCGAAGACCATAGATGCTTAGTAGATAGAAAGAAGGTTTATGAAGATTTTAAAGATTTCCTGCAAAAAGGTGGAAAGCGATGCTAGTAGATGGATTTAGATTCAAGAGATGAGAAAGTCGACGAAGAGAATCGATCAATGTTACTTAGGACCTAATGCAATGTTTAGCTTGACTCCTTCACGCTGTTAGGTTTAGCCTTGTGCTACTTTCATAGAGGTAACTCTAAGACTAGTAGGTCCCGAAGAAACGTGCTCAACTTTTTGGCTCAGCTCTGGTACGCTACTATTCTGGCTTTACGCTTCACTGGTTCACCTTTTTCGTTTCCGACCTTATGATTTTCCGTCCTTCGGGTGCGTGCACGAGTTCCCAAGTTCCACTGCGCTGATGGGCATGCAACTACTTTTCGATTGCACGACACCACTGGTCATCTGCCATAGCTTCTCTTTAGCTACTGGGTTCTTCGAATGCATAGGATGCCTGCTCAACTGCACAGTCCAATACATAATCCCCGAGGCGTCGTGGAACCACTCCACGAGTTGATCGTCTCGCGCCTTCGTGGTCTTGGTCCTATGCTTCAAGAACTTCGTAGAACTCGTCAAGGCCGGCGCACAATGCATACGTTTTCGGGTTTTTTGACAGATAATGCATGGCCTAACCACCGACAAACCGGCATGAATGACCATAGCAAAAATAATAAAAATTTTGACCAAAGCACACTTATGACATCTGCCTCCGGGTTCGAGGGAAATATTTAGCCAAGCCATTCCTAATAAAAAATAACCATAAGAAAGAGCTTAACGACGTGTTTGGGATCTCATCCAAACCATTTGTGGGATAGTTCTACCATCCGGATTACCGTTCGTTCACAGACAAACAGACGTAACACTTCATTGTGTATCTTCGTTCACGCATTTAACGGTTGATTTGAATATTATCAGTTCCGCGAACTACTCGCTGCAGCGCTGGCATCGTATCACTTTGACGTTTCTATATATTCTATATTATTCGGCGTCGATCAGCATACAGGTGACTGTAGTATATATGATAAGGTAGTAATGAATTAAACATAAATTTACCGCTAATTAGTTTGATGTCGGCAAAATGCATTTGGTAGCATTAGAAGTTGACAAAATGACAGATACACGCAAGAGTGATCGAACATGATTTCGGAAAGCTCCGAATACACGAATGCAGTTCGTGTCATGAACATCGAAGTACGTCTACGAAACGACCAAAGCACAGGACGCGAAGTGAGAGAGATAGGACGTATGATTAAAATTACGCTATGGGATGGAAGAGTGCGGAATGATATGTATGAACCGAGGTATGAACGCATTCATCACGCTCCTTCATGGCTCGATACGTGATTCTGTTCACTCATAGTTACAAACACCGTTGCCCTAGCCGTTGCCAGTATTCCAGATTTATCTGGATTTTCCAGATTTTTAGTCGTCTTGCCAGATACACAGACAGACCACGTATATTTCCAGATTTTTTAAATATGTTCCAGATTTTCCCAGATTTTTTAAACATGTTGCTTTAAAAATATCACTGCAAATGATTTACTCTCTAATTAAAAAACAATAAAAAGCCAACCTTGCTACTTTAATTATTAAAGGCCATCAACGTTGAACATTATTGGAATTTTAAGGTAATTTTGAAAATAGTTCATAGTTAAATGCGAGGCGAATTCTTTGTGAAATCAAAGGAGAATTTCAAGCTAATTCTGAGTACAATTACATCCATCTTTGTGAGCTTCGGGGTCGTGTGGCGTCACATATCATTTAGGCGTATTGTGAGTGCCACGAAGTGAGGGTCCGATTCCCGCTCCAGGCGGTGTAAATTTTGGCAATCTGAAAATTTCCCTACTGTTCTAATGGGTGTGGTGTGTTGTCCGTTGTCTAGTGTTAAATATTCAGTCTGTGTCAGTGTCAATTGTCTTGTCAACTCTGATGACAATTGTATCGAGATTTTGTCAATAAAGGAAATACAATCCGGAAGAGAAATCATAGAAAATACTTATGATGAAATTTAAGCAGTATGCTGATACGAATCGTGAGAATAATTTCAATGGAATTCTGCCCAATGTTTCTATGGAGCTTAATTTTAATAAATTTTTAAGCGCGATTTCTGGGAGACTTTCAAAACCAAAGTACTTGAATACTTAGGTAATACCTCGGGTAATACCAACAATCAATACGAAACTAACGATTTTAAATTGGCTCACTACTTGACTAGCCTATTGGTCCCAAGCAAACGATTAACGTACCCAATTCTAGTTGAAATTCTATTACTACACTATGTTTGTTTTGATTCGCTATGAAAGGGGTGTGTGGATTCATGCAGAACATGCAGGGGTGAGTGAAATAGCTTGGGACTGCTTGGGACCGTTGTTCTGGTACTGAGTGAGCCAAAAATAATAATGATTTTCTTCGGGACCCAGTGGTCTTAGAGTTACCTCTATGGTTGTACCAACAATCAATACGAAACTAACGATTTTAAATTGGCTCACCACTTTAGTAGCCTATTGGTCCCAAGTAAACGATTACCGTACCCTATTCTAGTCAAAATTCTAGTACTATGCAATGTTTGTTTTGATTCGCTATGAAAGTTTGACAGATAAAATGAGGGGTTAGTGGTTTTTCCTATGTTTCGAGGGGTGAATCGATTAGCTTGGGACCGAAGATAGTACCAGAGCTGAGCCAAAAAGTTTAGCACGTTTCTTAGGGAGCTTCTAGTCTTAGAGTTACCTCTATGGTTGTACCATAGAGGTAACTCTAAGACCACTGGGTCCCGAAGAAAATCATTATTATTTTTGGCTCACTCAGTACCAGAACAACGGTCCCAAGCAGTCCCAAGCTATTTCACTCACCCCTGCATGTTCTGCATGAATCCACACACCCCTGATGTTATCTGTCAAACTTTCATAGCGAATCAAAACAAACATAGTGTAGTAATAGAATTTCAACTAGAATAGGGTACGTTAATCGTTTGCTTGGGACCAATAGGCTACTAAAGTGGTGAGCCAATTTAAAATCGTTAGTTTCGTATTGATTGTTGGTTGTACTCCTTTAATCAAGTACCTCAAAACGTACAATTTGTGGTACTAGCTTAAAGCAGTACAACCAACCGGTGGAAACTAACGATTTTAAATTGGCTAACTACTTGACTAGCCTATTGGTCCCAAGCAAATCGTAAAACGTACCCCATTCTAGTCAAAATTCTAGTACTACACTATGTTTGTTTTGATTCGTTATGAAAGTTTGACAGATAAAATGAGGGGTTCGTGGATTTTGGATTAGCTTGGGACCGAAGATAGTACCAGAGCTGAGCCAAAAATTTGAGCACGTTTCTCCGGGACCTACTAGTCTTAGAGTTACCTCTATGGTACAACCAACAATCAATACGAAACTAACGATTTTAAATTGGCTCACCACTTTAGTAGCCTATTGGTCCCAAGCAAACGATTAACGTACCCTATTCTAGTTGAAATTCTATTACTACACTATTTTTGTTTTGATTCGCTATGAAAGTTTGACAGATAACATCAGGGGTGTGTGGATTCATGCAGAACATGCAGGGGTGAGTGAAATAGCTTGGGACTGCTTGGGACCGTTGTTCTGGTACTGAGTGAGCCAAAAATAATAATGATTTTCTTCGGGACCCAGTGGTCTTAGAGTTACCTCTATGGTACCAGAGCTGAGCCAAAAAGTTGAGCACATTATTTCTGGACCTTCTTGTCTTAGAGTTACCTCTATGGTAAGGACTACATCGTCTATTGGTTAAAAAAAATCCATCTTTTAGTTTTTGTTTGTCTTGTCCCCCGTCTCGATGAGTCTCATCGTCGTCCACTGGTCACCATAGCCGGTCGAACTCCAGACGAATCTAGAACCACACTACCGTTCATACTGGCGACATCGCTCTGATGAGACAACGAAACCCTACCCCAAGCTCCTTCACTTCTCCTATCCTTCGAAAATGTACCTCTCTAACCTCGAGTAAGCCGCGAGTATTCGGCCCAACTCCTACTAGACATAGAATTAAGTGAATTTTGTTACAAACAAAGAACAATGAATTATCTGCTCCGTAAAGCTAACGCGATTGAGCCATACAAATAAACGAACTAGATAAAAAAATCCATCCCATCTAGTTTCCTTGATTCTTTGCTTCTCATTCTTTTTTTTTTTAAAGTTGCAGTTGTAAAAACAATTCTAATCATATTTTCTGCTGTTTTTTACCCACATTTTACTCAATTTTTGAAATGCTGCGTAATGGATACTTTAACTTTTTGGGCACACCGTGTCAATACTTTTAAACTTTTGGATGATTTTAGCAATGCTAACAAGTTATTTGCTTTAAATAATTTAATTAAACATGTAATTTATAACCATTGTAGTACTTTAAATAAACTCCAGATAATCATGCTGACCTATTTTTACGGGAGCTTGGCACATCAGTTTGATTTCAATAGCATTATGTTAAAAATATGATTTTTGGAGCATTCCAGATTTTTCCAGATTTTATATTTTACCTGGTCCAGATTTTTCTGAAAATGACCTGGCAACGCTGGTTACAAATGTCATAGTAACAAATGGTCGATGCTTGAAACGACAGTGACCATTTCGTATTGCAGAGAAGAAAATGGCGTGATAAATTGCGGTTTAATCCCATCGCCACGATAAAAGCAAATCTCGATTATCGAATTCGTCTCCTCGATCCGAGCGCACTAAACAGTCACTCGTCGTGGGCTATCTTTAAGTGGGCTACGTTTTAATTGTGTTACCTCTATGTAATGTCCCATAGAAAATTGAATATTGATTCTCAAAATTGTTTTGCATTGCTTGTAGGAGTAAGGTAGGGGAATTTACGTATTCTCGTCGATCTAAGCAGCGTCAGTACTTCTATTAGCATTTTTTCAGCGTCACGCACATACCTGACGTGTCTGCTTGTTTAAATTCTATCCATTCTAATCGACAGAATTCTTCAAAACTGTTTGAAAGCGTTTTTACAACGCTCCAAACTTCTCAGGTGAGAGTGACTATTGTCGGCAGCTTCTTTTTCTTCGGCAACCTTCCCATTAGAACCATAGAGGTAACTCTAAGACCACTGGGTCCCGAAGAAAATCATTATTATTTTTGGCTCACTCAGTACCAGAACAACGGTCCCAAGCAGTCCCAAGTTATTTCACTCACCCCTGCATGTTCTGCATGAATCCACACACCCCTGATGTTATCTGTCAAACTTTCATACACGCTATTTCAAAACTACCCAAGTTTGGGTAGGATCTACCCAGATCCGTCAAAACTAAACCTACCCAAAAATGGGTAAACTGTGTTGGGAGTGGCAAGTTGACAAATGAACAACGTCGATCGGATTGATGTCAATGTTGTTCATTTGTCAACTTGTCACTCCCAACACAGTTTACCCATTTTTGGGTAGGTTCAGTTTTGACAGATATGGGTGGATTCTACCCAAATTTGGGTAGTTTTGAAATAGCGTGTAGCGAATCAAAACAAACATAGTGTAGTAATAGAATTTAAACTAGAATAGGGTACGTTAATCGTTTGCTTGGGACCAATAGGCTACTAAAGTGGTGAGCCAATTTAAAATCGTTAGTTTCGTATTGATTGTTGTTAGAACTGCGTGTTATCGGCAACTCGAAATCAGCCCCATTTTGTAGTGCGTATGCTTCATTTAAAGAAAAATCTGGCATAACAGGAATGCTCGATCGTACAAATAAAATCAGATTGAAGCTGAAAGACTAAAGAATCGTTTGGATCCATTCAGGGAAGTGTGCTGATGGGAAAACATAGTGAAATTAACGTTTAAATTTTGGTTGCCGAAAACAGTCAATGGGTGCCGAATCCGACATTTACCCTATAAGTTTATAAATTTAAAATAAAATTGTATTCCGGCTTGCCGCAAACGCCAACACCCACTCCGACACAAGGAGGCGTCCAAAACGCAGAGAACGATCGGTGGGCAGTTTCCGTCAAAACGAGCGTCGCCCGAACGAACGACGTGCAAAAACGAACTTAGGAGGTGGAGGAGGATCGAGAAAAAAGGGAAAAAAGTCGTCGGTATCTTGCGTGCGTACCAACCTCCCAGCGATAAGGTCGAAAATCAAGTCCGTGCCACGGACTCCGTGGTGAAAAATCAAACTGTCGTGTGGATATCACTTGTGTCGTATCCAGTAAAGAGTGATAAGTAATGTTGACTCTCTGGATCGTTCTGGGAGTGGTTTTTAAAAGCGGCCCGCCACCGCGATGATAGTTTAGTGAAATTTTATGATCGACTCCCGATCTCGTTCCGTGAGCGGATCCGATTTGTCCCGCGGCCGAAAGGTGTACCCAGTGTACCACGAGAGTGCGATCACCCCTATTCGTTCCCGAGTATAAACGAGAGTGTCTGCTCAACGTGAGGGAAGCGATCCCGCCCCTGTTAAGATAACGCCAGCAGTTGAGGCTAGTGCGTAAAGAATAAAAAAATTCACGATCCCCGTTTTCTGGTCCGGTGAGAAAAATTCAAAAACAGTACGGATTGAGTGGACGCCTCGTGCTGATTAGTTAGTATCACACTTTGGTGTGTCAGCGGAACGGAGAGTCTCCTCTCGCAACGTAAAAATTATCCCATTAGACGGAAGCTAGGATTCCCCTGAGATGAGTTATAACGGTAAGTCGCATGCTTCCAATTGTAGGAAAAACCTTTCTTAAAGTTGGGCTCCCGTTAGATGGGCTGTAGCTGTAGATTTTGATGATAATAAGCAATCGGTGTATCCCTCAACCAATTTTCAGATTAACAGTTCAACTCAACTAACGAAAGCCTTCCACTAAGTGGGCCATGGAAAGCCCAACGAGCGAAAGTTGACTGTATATAGCTATACTACCCATAATCGCATATCAGTCCCATATTGGCTTGGTTTCCTATCCATGTGGGACAGTTATGCGATTATGGGCAGTATATATTTGTAGAATTTTAGGCTAGTTCCAGGTTATTCCTAATAATATTAATAAAAGTTTAAATATAGTTTCCGAGAGGGTTTACAATAGTTGAATACACAGGGAATTTTGAACATTTTTCCAAAAGCATTCAGAATAGGAAAAAGTAGGCCGCGCTGCGAAAATGACGTGTTTTTGTTTTGCTGCGTCGTTTTCGTTCTAGTGAAAATGTTATAAATTTACAATTTCGTTAAAAAAAAGTGTTAATTTGAAAGTACAGAAGTGATGTTGAAAAGTGCATTAAGTGAAAATTTTCAAATTCTTATCCGTTGCGTGTGGTGCCGACTGTTCTAACCTACGCGTAGGTACGCTCAGCTAAGTTTATTTATATCTTTCCGTTCCTCTGTCCTCGATAGGAAATATCCATCTAACTAAAGACGATCGATTCAAAACTTACTAAATACGCATCAATCAAGTATTGCACTACTGCTTGATTGAAAGTTTCAGTACATTATCAATGGTGTATATTTGCATCGATGATGTATTGGAGCGGGGCTTATCATGTGTGAAAATAGCTTCGAGATGCTTGCGTTCTTGAAAGGGGCTATTGTAGCTGCGGCAGAGCTGTCACCTTCTAATTCCCGGGTTGAAGCTTCTTGCATTCATAAGAAATGATTGCAGGCAGATTTTATCCATAATACCACTGCCAGACAGTGGGATTTAGGCCAAGGGCGAATCTTCATTCTAATCTACGATTCCACATACTATTAATAACCTTTTACACATGAGAACCTCATATCGATCAGAATGAATTGTGCATATGTTTAGGATCTACAAACAAAGGAGCAACAGGATCGAGCTGATAACGTTTCTAAATTCCAAAATCTGAAGACTGCTTTGAATAATATGTTTGATATAACGCTTGATATAACAATTGCCAGCAACGCCGACTGGGCGTATCCTATGGCTTACCCTCCCTACTAACAAAAATCCACCCTTCCCGTGACACTTATGAGGTTTCGTAGAGCTCTCTGCATCTCTCTTAAGTAAGTGTCGGACTAACATTCCTCCCCTTTAACCACCAGATGCAAGGACGTGGCCAGGACAGCTCTGGTCTGTTGGAGGAAGACGCATCCTTTACCTAAGAGGTAGTAATTAAGCACAAATTACTATCTAACAGCAACGGATGAAGGTGGGTCTCCTTCTTAACAGTTTGGAGCTCGTACCATCTACGACATTGTGCAACCTGGTTTATGCTATGCTATGCTATTTCCAAAAGCATTCAGAATAGCGTGCCAGGATGTTTTGAAGAAGTTTCCCCGAGAATTCAGATTCTTTTAGAGGTGTTTTGAGAAGAATTCTTAGGAAAGTTCCCTTGCAATTCTGAAGTAAATTTCAAGGATATTATGGGAGAAAAGTTTCTAAATTCAAAAGGGCAAACCAAGAGATTTCTGAAGAATATTTCAATTGGATTTCAAAGTTACCCTAATAATATTTTGCCTACCGACGTGTTCCGGGTATTATCCAAACCATTTGTGGAATAGTTCTATCATTTGGGTTGTGATTCGAGTTTTATATTTTTGTATTACTATAATTATGTAGAGAAGTTGAAGCAAATTCTCGTAAGAGTTTATTGAAAATCCTAATTTCAAGAAACTGTCTAAATTGTTTGGGATTCTCAGTGGTATCGTTTTGGATAATTGTCATGATCTTGAAGTTAAAAATTTTTGAAAAATTCTGGGACATTGCTGATACTTAGAGACCTCAGACTTAATTTTTAGTGTCCTATACTATTAAAACGTTAAGAATTGCAAGCTGGGAGAAATATTCAGAATTCTGAATTAAATATTTAAGCTACTGGAATAACAATTTTTATTAATAGAATTCGATTATTATACCTAGGTCGACTGGAAATGCTTTCGGCAACGTATGGGGATTTATGTTGTGATTAAACGTCGCTAGAACTTACGCAGTTTTTCGCCTGTACATTTGAAGAAATATACTTCAAGTCTCCTCATCCATTAATGTATGGAGTGTTGCGTTTGAAGAGAACTGTCGCATTAATGGCCCTTCGCTCATTTTCATCTTCTATTAAATTTTCACACTGCCGTACTCTAGCGGAACTATCAACCTATCCTCTTCAGAACTTTCTTTAGTTAATAAATCAACACACTTAAACTTCATGTTGATATCAGTATAGCATTTCCAACGAACTCTGCAAATCATAAACTTCACGTATGAAGTAACAAAAAAAAACACTTTGAATGTACCATAAAACATTGTTTATGCTAAATGAATGGAAGTACAGAAACCCCATTATTATGGGTCACTCACAACTATGGGCTACTTCCATTTGATTAACACGGAGAACCGACTGACCCAATGCCTCTTCTAAAATGTTCCCTCCTTTAGATCACACATGCTGTTCTTGCAATCGTTCTATTGTCGGGGTAATGGCCATTCAGAGTAGTGGGTCATTCGGGGCAATGTCATAGAGTCTAAATATTTATTAAAACAAAATGCACCCAATCTTGATTAATTTAATAATATGCATAATATTTTTTGATAAATACTTTTGATAAGACACGGCTTGCATGCTGTGTGTATTATATTCGCCTATGAATATATGCTAAAGATATATAATTTTCAAAGCACCCTAAACCTGCCGCTGGTCGGAGATTCCCTTCAGGGAGTTGGAGATCTTGATCGTCTTGTAGTCGCTCCTCAGCTGGATAAAGTTCATCACCACCGACTTGTCCAGATAGTTGAGCGTGTCGCCGCCGCAAACTTCCTGCAGATTCTCCGCCTTCACCAGCAGCAAATTGCACAGGGCGTGCAGCACATCGAACAGTTGCGTAACCAGCGGCGACTGTAGCGGCCGGGCGCTCTTCCGGTACTCGTTTACATCGCAAATGGCGCACATAGCCCCGGCCGTATTATACTGGAATTGCTGCATATGTTCGTAGATCACTCGATGATAGCGAACGCCAAACTCGGTCAGCACGGCCGACAAGTTTTCGCCGTCGATCGTACGCTGGATCAGAGCGATCAGTGGGTTCACGTACTTGAGTACAGCCAAGCATGCATTCGAGGCCACCGTATCCACATCCGAATCCGGCTTGAAATCCGTTTTCTTCTGTTCATTTTGAAGGTACGTTTTGACCCATCCAAAGATGGCATTCAATGTGCGCTCCAGGCCAGTCTCAATCTTGCTTTCGATGGATTCCAAGTAGTAACGTTTCTTCTGCACACAATCGGTATACTGTGCCGTTGAGACGACATTCGGAATCACACTGGCGTTGTACGTTTTCTCCAACAGATGGACAATGGTATTGCATTTTTGGGCCACATCAAAGAAATAGATCTGTGGCACGGTTTTACATTCAGCGATCGGAATTGTCTGCAGTCCCAAATCCAGCGCGTAATCTACGTGCTCGTGCAGCAGGAATCTCAGTAAGATGTCTACTATTTTCAGAATGTTTCTCGGCAGATCTGCTTCTTTGGACAGAAGACAGCATCGTTCCAAAGCGCATGACGATTGCTGCAAAAGATTGATGGCCAGCTCTTCCGAGAGGAACGTTTCGCCACCGTAGTCTTCTATCTGAGCAATGTTAATGTTCGCACGGGCCCCAATCAACGCTTGCATATCTCGACGGAGTTCCTGAAACCGCTCGACCTGTTTCTTCTGATGATTCTTATTCTCGTAGAACTTGCGCAGTTCCATTTGACATCTCGCTTCCAAACTACGACACTCCACCTCAATGTACGAGCACAGATGCGACGAGAAAATATTAGCCGTCAGTTTTTGGAGCAAATCATCGTCCGACTCTTTCATAAACTCCTGCAACTCATTCGACAGCTTCAACGTCCTCGAGTATAGTTCGTACAATGTCTTCAGGTACTTCCCTTCGTCCTTCCTGTCATCCAGCTTGGTCTGCACAAACTGATTAATCTTGAGCTGATAAATGTTCAGAATGAACTTGCTCATGACCTGATCCGGTGCATTGAAAACTTGCTTTATGATCTTGTAGTTCTTGTGACACAGCGGAACGATCCCATCGAATACGTCTCGTCCTCCGTACGTAACGGCCTGGCTCTGCTCGATGTACACATCAATTACCTGCGAGTAACCCTTGAACTGCGACAGGATCGTCGAAATTTCCTTCATCCGCTCGATGTTCTCCATCTTCTGTGCCGTGGCAAAGTCCTCAATCAACTGCATCTCGATCTCGTCATACTTTCCCTCGATCTTCTTCTTCGCATTGGAAAACCGACTGGCCGGAAGATCCTGCGAAATCATATACAGCTTTTGGATGATATCGGCCGCCTCGAACAATCTCGACTTGTCGCTGTATACATCGTTCACGATCGGTCCCGGTGTCAGAAAGTCGCCCATATGACTCAACAACAGCTGAGCCTCCACCGCCCGACTCCTAGGAATGTTCACATTCTCCAGCTGCTCTCCCAAGTGGATAACCTTTCCGGCCACCGAATTGATCTTCTCGTCCAGCTGATGGAAATAGTCCACCGAAATTTGGTGCTTCGCGACGAACTTATCGATCGCCTTGACGAACACTTTCTGCTCCTCCTTCAGGGCATCCTCCAGCTTATCGCACTTGCGCTGCTGCCGTTCCTGGAGAATCTTCAGATCCTTAATCGTCTCCACGAACGTCTCCTGCAGCAGATCCGGATCGAACTGGTCCGACCCGATCTCGTTGTTGGTGCGCCAGCAGAGCCGCTCGATGAACTCCTCCACCTCGAACGGATCCTGTGCGGACAAGGAGAATGAATCGGCGCTTGGATTTTCAATTCGATCAGCCCCGTACAAACCTGTTCCAATTCTTCCACGTATTGGGATAACATTTTTAATCTTAAACAACAGTGTTATGTTACTCAAAAACACTCGTTCTTTTGCAAAAAAAAAAAAACACACGCAATCAGTGATGAATTTCTGCGATGACTGATGTTTTTGTTTGTTTTGAAAACAGCTGGGGGGGGATGTGCTGTCAAATCAGCCTACTGATCATCTTGTATGAAACTGGTTCCAAACGTAAACAAACGCTGTAGGTTTCTTATGGCTTGTTTACGTTTGGAACCACTTATGCGAGGTAGGCGACGATTGTTCGTATTTGACAGCCACCTCCCCCCCTTGGAAAACAGTGGTTGTGATGTTCGTGTCATTTCGCATGCCCCAATAGGGTGAATGTACTAATTTTATACCTAGCACCCAGTCCAAAGGAGTGCCAGTAATAATTTATTCTTATTCGTACTATTAACACACACACACTTTGCCTATGTTGAATACATTTGACGTTTATACGATTTTTTAAAGTTTCAAATGCCAATTATTATGAAGCGAGTTATGAAGAGCTTTGAGTGCGTTGATTTATTTCCTTTAAATTCCGTTATAATTGCTTATCTTTTGACAGATACACGTGACTTTTACTTTTGATTCGATTTACGTGCAAAATAATAATTGAGTGCTTCGCAATATTTTGTACATTTTACCCATCTAACATCAAATAATCAATAGAGTTAGAATATTGTTATTATTCCAAAAAAACTAGTTGCATTTGAGAAGCACACGAAACAAAAAGGTGATTAAATTTCTGTTCGATTTCAATACTCTCAAATTTATTGTAGTAAGAATAAGAAATCCTCGGACAAAATCTAATGCGAATGTTCGATTGGATCAGGTTTTGACAGTTCATTTGACTCAAAACATTCTCTCCGCCCATCTCTCCCTCTGAATGTTTCTATTCGAAACCTAATGCATGGTCCAAAATTAGTACACTTACCTTATGCCACATAAAAATGTCAATAAAAAAAGAAAAATAATTCAGTGCCAACATTTCAAAGGGGCGTAATTGCTTTTGTAAACAATGACTTTAGCCATCAATTTCTCGCGAATGAAATCTTACCTCTTCAAAATAACAATGCTAGCTGGTAGAGGAAACATTCCTCTACCTAATGGTGTCATTATTTTTCATGAGTGAGCTTTTATTCGCGAGAAATCGATGGCTAAAGCCATTGTTTACAAATGCAATTACGCCCCTTTGAAATGTTGGCACTAAATTATTTAGACAACAGAATATTTGTATAGGGAAATGTAATGTTTAAGTGTTAAAGCAGAATATCGACTATTTTAAATAATCAACTTGGATTTAGGCAAAAACCTAGTAGAACTTTAGGCAACATTGCCATTTTATCCCAGAAAGCAAAAACCAAAAGTTAAATCCTTAACGTCTGCGCATTAGCCGCATACATATTCTCAATCGAAAATATAGCGCACCGAGTCTTTGCTGCATTTTACCAGTAATCAGTCGTCGAAAAAAACTGCCTTTGAACAAGTTAGTGTCTTTTGAGTCAACTGGAAGTGCGATTAATTAGGTTGTTCGCCGGGAACGAAACTGACAATATTTAGTGCGAAATCTGCACCGAACGAATTAAGGTGGCATATCGTGAAAGGATTTCCATCGCATCGAACGGGAGCTTCAATAGGAGGAAACATCTGCATCCGTAACAATGAGTGACAATAAGTAAGTGTAGTTGGTTCGACGAAATATGTCTTGCTGTTGCTGTTCAGCACTTATATTTTTCATATCCTATACCCTTTATCTATACATTAGAGGAAATTAATATAAGGAAAGCTTAAAAAGCATAGCTCCTCCCAATTTTATCAATCAGAGGGAATCTAAATCATGTGTATTCTGAAGTCACATTATCGTGCTACACATAAGTTTAAGAAAGAACCGAAATTACCAATTGCACCATGTACGTTAGGAGAAATCAATGGAAATGTGATTTCCTACTTCGGAAATAAATATAAGAACGCTATACACAAATTTATGGGAAATTGGTCATTTTCGAAGCATAATTTAGCATGTCAACAATTATATTGTGGGACCAAAATAATCAAAGCACGTTCATTCAGCATACTTCGACACACTACATCAGAGAGAGAAAGCATACTAATAGCAGGGCCCATCAGCTGGAACCAGCTCCCTCTGTCGACTAAACAACAAAACACGGTGCCCACATTTTTAAAGCAGCTCTAAGAAAATAATTATTCTCTAACTTCGATGCATTCGTGATGTGTAAGCTTACTTGGTTTTCTAAATGTAATTTTTCAAATTGTTTTCTTCCTTGTACTGATAAAGAGTTCATCCACCAAGATTGCAATAAACTAAATAAACTACAATACAATACTTTATGAACATAACCTCAAAATTAGCATCAGCATAGTTGCTCCTATTGTTCTATAAATCAGAACTGACCATGTAAATTTGATATCTTGTCTCTTTCATTATTACGGATTATCACACTCAGATTGACAACAAAGACGAGTAGTTTCATGTTACCAGGCAGATGTTCCATGATATCAACAATCAATACGAAACTAACGATTTTAAATTGATCCATTGGAAGAGAAGAATGGGAGAGGGTGTTAAATATTTCACATTCAGAAAACTGAGTTTTGACAGAAGTTCAGGGAATTCACGGGAAATTGGTAGGACTTAAGACAACATCATGTGATTTCTGAGAGCTTCGTAGAAATTCGGGGTTCAAACAACTTTGTAGAACTTCATCAATCTTTGTAAACATTTAGCAAACTTTAAATAAGTTTTGATTATAGAGATGAACTAGCCTAAGGCTAAAAATCTCTTAAATAAAGAATTTTAAAAAAAAAATAAGTTTTGCGAATTTTGTAGAAATTTGAGAAAATCCGTTGAAGTTCAGAAATGTTTTCTTTAATTTCAGAGAACTTTGTAAAACTTCAGGGACTTTGTAGATGTTCAGGGAACATCGTAGTCATACAGAAAACATTAACGGGAAGCTCGTAGAGCTTCAGCTTTTTAAATTCAAGGAGCTTTTCAAAAATTCTGAATTAAAAAAATCTTGGATTTGGAGTAGGTCCGGAAAATTCGTTGAAGTTCAGGAAACTTCGCAGAACTTCAGGGAACTTCGCAGAACTTCAGGGAAATTCTTAAAAGTACACGGAACTTCGTAGTAGTAGTTCATTAGTAGTTTAGCGAACATTGTAGACGTTTAGCGAATTACGTAGCAATTCGATAAACTTCGTAAGACTTTATAGAAATGCAGGGCATTTTGTATAAGTTCAAGGAACTTCTTAGAAGCTCGGTTCACTCAACAAACTTCGTAGTAGTTCAGGCTTAGAACATCGCCGAAGTTAAGCAAACTACTTAGTACATCAGGGATTTTAGTATCAGTTTAGGGAACATCGTAGCATTCAAAAAAGTTCAATGAACTTCTTGGAAGATTAGAGAAATTCGTTTACTGCCCAGTTTACTTAGAAATATTCGTAGAAAAGTTTCAAAGTCTTCCCAGAAGTTCGGAGAAGTTAACAGATGTTCTGAGATCTTGGTAGAATAAAGAAAAAAAAAAACAAGTACAGGATACTTCGAAGAAGTTTAGAAAATTCTCTAGAAGTTCAGGGATCTTTGTAGGTGTTCAGTGAACATTGTATGAGTTTTTGCAAATTTGTAAAGTTCATCAAACTTGGTAAAAATTAAGTGAACTTTCTAGAAGTTAAGGAAAGTTTGTATAAGCTAGGAAAAAATCGTAGAAGTTCAGAGTACTTCTAAAAAGCTGGAAGTTCTTGGAACTGAGTTCATGTTCAAGAAACCTTGTGAAAGTAGGACGTAGGAAACTTCGAAGAATGTTAGAGTACTTTGTTGATATACATGAATTTTCGATAATGTATCAATCAATTTATCGATTTTTAAATCAAGATTTAAAGCAAAATAATAACTTCACTGTTTGACACCAAACTAACAAATTTACAGCTTACTCCCATACAAAATCGCACCGAGGGGCACTAAGATGGTGATTCTTCCTAATGTAATCGTACTTTTTTTTAAATAGTTTCAGTGCACACACAATTGGTGCAATTTTGGATTTCGATTCCATGTTTAATGCACATTCCGAACATGGATTTACCTCAATACCCTTAATACCCAATTGAAGATAAAATTGGAAATTTATGTGTAAGTAGAATTGGGTTGCATTGAGCTAAATGCATATTCGTAATTTGCATTCAAAATGGAACCAAAATACAGAATTTCATCAAATTTGGTGCACTGGAACTATTTTAAATAAGTGCGATTTCATTAGATAAAAATAACCATCTTAGCGCCCCTCGGTGGGACTTCGTATATGGGAGCGAGTTGTCAACTCGTATAAATATTTTTTTTCCTTGATTTGTTTTCCGTTGATCTTGTTTTCCGTGCTAAGCACACGACGCCAGGAAGGCAGCTCCCACACCTGGACCCTACCTATCGACCCATCAACTCATGAAACGGGGACCAACGGCTTTACTTCTCTTCCGAAGGAAGGCGTGATCAGAGATGTTATGCCTCAGAACATCTCGGCGGCGCCGACTGGGATTGAACCCAGGCCTGCTGGGGTGAGAGGTAATCACGCTTACCACTACACCACCGGCACCGCTGTCACTCGTATATTAGTATTGTCAAAAATAAAAAATGTAAATCTTGATTTAAAACTCTAGATGATGGGATCGATGACAATCCTAACCCAATTGTTAGGAAGTTTTAGATACCTAAGGTCTGGAATTGATTCTCTACTTGACTAGACTATAGACTTCTCTGACGTTTGTGAAATGCACAAGTATTAGTGCAGAACTTTGGGTAAATTATAAGTATTAGTGTAAGAAATCTTTTGAATTTACCCAAAGTTCTGCACTAATACTTGTGCATTTCACAAACGTCAGAGAAGTCTATAGCTGTTTTTAATAAACAAATACCATAAACAAACGATAATCCAAATGGTAGAACTATAATACTAAACTAAATATATTTCGCATTTGGATGAAACACCGAACAGTACTTTTTCATGGTTATTTTTATTAGATATGTGTAAATACACACATACCTAATAATCTAATAAAAGCATAATATTTATAAGAACTCATTTCCTTTGCTCTATTTTCAGTGATTATTTCAAACTGGTGCTACTGGGTAACGCTGGAGTTGGAAAGACTTGTATTTTCTTTAGATTGGCAGTGAGTGTGAATCTAGTTATGGTCAATATCATCAAAGTAAATCAATAGCCTATTAATTCTATTACAGGAGAATAAATACATGGAAAACACTACCGCAACAATCGGTGCAGATTCTGTAAGTATGGTTTAATGGCCTTACAGTGAGATTATTGTTTCCCATCACAAGATTGAGCTAGTAATTCGGAGCTTTATTTTACAGAAAACTAAAACCATCCAACTGGATGGCGAAACAATAGAAGTGCTAATTGTGAGTATGTAAGCCTTAACAAATAGATTGCTGAAGTGAAGGTATTTTGGACCAGCCTTGATTTTCTATCAAAGCTCCAGAGCTGATCCAATTTTTAGGCTAAAAATAGATGATTGAGGAAAATCTGACAGACAATAGATCTTCATTCCTTTATTTAACGTCGGTCTCTGTTCCGCAATCTAGTGCCAATCACCGACGGACATCGATTGCTATCCATTGACGGCAATCGAATGTGCAGGAAGGCAGTTTCCACACCTGCGTAGGATATCGCACCCATTCAACACACATGGGCCGGGACCAACGGCTTTACTTCCCTTCCGAAGGAAGACGTGACCAAAGATTGTTATGCCTCAGAAACATCCCACCGACCTCGGCTGGGATTGAACCCAGATTCATTGGGGTGAGAAAGCAGTCACGCTTACCACTACACCACCGGCGCCGCACAGACAATAGATGTAGCTGTCATATTGCAGCACTGTATCAAATCCGAATTCATTGCACGGTACATTTTATAATCGTTCTTTAGTTTACTTTGCTGAGTTCGCGTCTACAAAGCTTCGGCAACTGTCAGTCACACACGACATCACTGATAAATCTTGTCGATCCATGCGTGAAGATGTCATGTAGTCGGTGCCGGTGGTGTAGTGGTAAGCGTGACTGCTTTCTCACCCTAACGGGTCTGGGTTCAATCCCAGCCGAGGTTGGTGGGATTTTTCTAAGGCATAAAAATCTCTGGTCACGTCTTCCTTCGGAAGGGAAGTAAAGCCGTTGGTCCCAACCCATGTGTGTTGAATTGAATGGGTACGATGGTACGATATCCTTCGCAGGTGTGGAAGCTGCCTTCCTTGCACATTCGATTGCCGTCAATGGATGGAAATCGACTTCCGTCGGTGATTGGCACTAGATTGCGGAACAGAGACCGATGTTCAATAAAGGAAAGAAGAAGAAGAAGAAGAAGATGTCATGTCCATCATGGTTTTGCGAATTAGTTAAGGTGATTCGCTGTGACATCCTTATTCTCGTAACCACTTCGAAACTTTTGGCACCGACGAGCTGACGTGACAGCTCATAGAAGCTGCATTCAAATTCTTGCCCAAGACGCCATATTTAAAATACGTTAAACACAACCACCATCTACTAATCCGATCGCGTCATATCGTGAGCAAGGACACGAACACACGTAAAATTTATATTGTCTTGGTTTGTGTCTCACCTCGCTTGACAGATCTGATCGCCCGTTCGAAAGATCAAATCGCTCATTTGACAAATTGAATTGCGGACAAACTAAATGCTCCAGTGTCGCATGTCGGTTCTTCGGTGCTTTAAGTGCACAAATATCAGCTTCTACGAAACGTGCAACATTTAAATTCGACAGTGAGCATGCATAAGGGCGTATACGCGAAGATCGATTCTCTTCATCGTTTTTCTCTTTGCATTGCTACAGCTAAGCGAAACAATTTTGTAGAATTTGTTCAATGTAGAGTTGTAATAGGTTGTATTGGCTTTCAAAAGCAACAACAAACGCACCGACAAACGTTAAATCTAGCGAGTTATTAAGAAAAGAGAAAATCGATGAAGAGAATCGATCATCGCGTATACGCCCTTATGAATGCTCACTGTCGAATTGTTACTCCACGTTTGTTGCATTGCAGCAAATATGAAGTAGCGATTTCAAATGAAATGGGGCACTGATTTCCAAGATTTATGTAATTGAAAAATCGAAGTGGAAGTGCATGTTTAGCCTACGTGGCGGCCATTTGTGGACTCTACAAGGAATCACCTTAAGGTTCAATTTACTTTGAGGCGTTTTTTAAAAATTCAAAAGCAGTTTTTTTCGACGCATTATTTTAGATTGCAAAAAACTTGCGTCACTTTGTGTAAAATATCAAAAGGAATCGAATAGTGCGAGCTTTTTGCAATCTGAAATAATGCGTCGGAAAAAACTGCTTTTGAAATTTTCCAAAAAGCATCAAAGTAAATGGAACCTTAAGAGCATACTGACTCCGGCCCTGGTACCGGTGGACTACTTGACTAGCCTATAGGTTCCAAGCAAATCGATTAACGTATCCCATTGTAATTCTAGTACTACACTAGGTTTGTTTTGATTCGCTATGAAAGTTTGACTGATAAAATGAGGGGCTCGTGGATTTTCCTATGTTTCGAGGGGTGCATCGATTAGCTTGGGACCGAAGAGAGTACCAGAGCTGAGCCAAAAAGTTGAGCACGTTTCTTCGGGACCTTCTGGTCTTAGAGTTACCTCTATGCTGATACTGTTTGCATAAAAATTAATAATATTTTTAAAAACGGATGTATTAATCGGGCTTCATCTTAACGAAATTATAATTGGGCTGATTAACTTCGAAAAATATACCGATTTTTATACATCATCTGATAGAGCTTCGTTTTCTGAGCACAAAAATATTTTAATCGATTCCGTAGACATTCATATCGGTTTTTAAATCAATATTTAAATGTTTGATCGTTGACACTAAATCTATTCGTTGACAGCTCGCTCCCATTCAAAATCCCACCAAGGGGCGCTTAGATGGTGATTTTTGCTAATGTAATCGTAATTATTTAAATTAGTTCCAGTGTACCAAAATGGATGAAATTTTCGATTACGGTTCCATTTTTAATACAGATAACGAATTTGTATTTATCTCAATACCCCTAAACAACCCTATTCTTCTCTCTCGCTCGGCAACAGTTGGACACCGCCGGTCAGGAGCGCTACCGTTCGATGGCACCCTGGTATTACCGACAAGCGGACGGTATCATCATTGTGTACGATTGCACGAATAAGAAATCGTTTGACAGCGTGAACTCGTGGCTGAAGGAAATTGATGAACATGCCAATGAAAACGTCACCAAACTGCTGGTGGGCAACAAATGCGATCTACAGACACAGAAGGTAGTCGATACGACTACTGCTATGGTATGTACTTCAGGGGATCAAACATGTATGTAAAAGATAAACAGGCGAGCTAATTGATAATATCAGGCATAACATTTGATAACGGCACAAAAGCATTTGTAAACAAACTTTCTAAGGCCCTTTACACGCTAACCAAAGTACGCCCACGCAAACCAATACCACTTTCGGAAAGTTGATAGTTGTTCCTATCCGATGATGTTGTTGGTTTGCGTGGGCGTACGTTGGTTCGCGTGTAAAGGGCCTTAGAAAGTTTGTTTTCAAATGCTTTTGTGCCGTTATCAAATGTTATGCCTGATATGTGATCTGTTAATTTAAACGTCAAAATAACGTTGTTTGTCATGATTAAAATACTACTGAAAACACGCCTTTGCGCGTAAAGAGAAAACTGTTCTTGTGTTACACATCCACCGTCCCAATCTAGTTCTGTCAAAGTGGATGTTTGTTAGAACAAAAATTGTCCTAAGCAACATTGACGCTAAGATCGATCAAATATGCTACCATCTAGCATTTTATACGACAAACACGACAAGAAACAGTTCAATACCCAAGTTATTAACGCAAGAGGATCGACCAATGTGTTACTTAGGAACTAATGTAATGTAATCAATCGGGACACCTGAGTTAATCCGTGATCCTTTCAACCCGCAGGAGTATGCAAATCAGCTCGCCATTCCATTTCTGGAGACGTCCACCAAGAACGCAACCAACGTGGAGCAGGCGTTCATGACGATGGTATCGGAGATGAAGAATCGCCGCGGTAGCTCTTCGATGAGCGTAGAAAAAGTGCCTAATGTCATCAGGATCGTCGAGAACCGCAACATCAAGTCACCTTCCACTTGTTGTGTGTGAGAGACTTCTCATGGAATAATAATAATAATAATAATAAAAGGAAAGTCAGAGTAGAGTCGGTGTATAATGAGTCACGCCAAGAGTGAAGCCAAGTCTACCTATTGAACTGTCAAACCGGCTACCTATCGTGCAAAGTAAACAAACATTACGATGATATGAAAGGTCCACGAAAGGTATTGCAATAAAATATAAAATATAATCGAAGAAATGATCATACACACGCAGTGAGCATTAAATTGTCATGGGATACGTTTGGTAATGATCAGAAATGAGAATTTCTTCTTTTTTTTTATTAAGATAATTTGACAAAATCACTTATATAACGATTTACTACAGCCGCTATTTTTTTTTCTCGCTAGAAGTCATTTCAAGTTGATGTAGAAATCTTCTGTTGCCAAGTGAAAAGAAAGGGAATCTTTCGAAAACCGTGATGCAAGTTCAACTGTTTTTCTCTTGGCGTGACTCATTATACACCGACTCTAAGTCAGAGGAATGAGACTATGAGCATGAGCAGTAGACCAATATTTTAAATTTTCCCTCCACACAGTGCTTAAACGGTTTTAAATCGGGTCCTGATTAGCCTCCCAAAATTAGAAACAGACTGTTTTAAGTTTACGGAATTACTATAGGAAATCAAAACTTTTTTTTCATTGCCTTTTACGCTTTTTCTACCCTCGCTCTGAGAGAAAAATCGATAGCTTTTCTTGTAGAAACGTTTCTCAGCTACAACTTTGCTGGAGATCTTTTTTTTAGTCAATCGACAAATGAAAAAGTTATTACTTATTTAAAGTCATCATTTTTATATCTAGAACTAGAATTAAATTCCCGGTCGATTGAAAGCTGTTTCATCAAAATCGGTCCAAAAATGACGAAATGGGAAAAGACGAGGCTCGGTAGCTCAGTGGTTACCGTTTCTGCTTACTGAGCAGAAGGTCGGGAGTTCAATCCCAGGCCCGTCCCCTTCCTTGCAATTTTTCACTTTGCCTTATTCTATACCCACTAGATTTTAATGAAAACAAATTCTTCTTTAACACCGATCGCATCACTTACCACAGTGTGGGTCCTGATATAAAAATAGAAATTGGATGAGTGCGCGCGCGTGTGTGTGTGTGTGTGTGTGTGTGTGTGTGTGTGTGTGTGTGTGTGTGTGTGTGTGTGTGTGTGTGTGTGTGTGTGTGTGTGTGTTTGTGTATTATAATCGCTCTACCATAAAACCGATCCCTGCATGTGCGTGCAACCTTTCCCCACATCCAACATCCCGGTGATTTCTCGTGGAAGCGCAGAGGATTTCTCGGTTTCCTTCACAGCGAGTACCACGTCAACACATTCCTTCCCATTCCCTAGTTGACCTGCATTCGGACACGGCCGGCGCTGGTATTGCTAAATATTAGATCTCCAGTTCTTACACATTGAGGATGAATGTTAGTCCCAAACATCATCTGTTGGTTCTCTGTTTAATTGCAGCTGATCTGGTAATAACAGAGCAGCAACCGTGGGCGGTTGATCTGATTGATTGATTGAAAAATGACGAAATGGGAAAAGCTTAGGTACGCAAATATTAAGGCAAGCTGCGCATGATTGACTCTGAAGCATATCTGTGCCATCTGTTAGGTCACTTGGCTGTTTGCTGTTTTGACGTAGGACTACGTCTGTGATTTCTATATGGGGGTACACTTTGTGAAAACCAAAAATGGAACATGTAACAAAATTATGAAAGATTTTGAACGTTAATAACTCAGCTGCCCCTGGACCAATTTCAATAATTTTATCACCAATCGATCAGAAATATTTCTACGCATCCGTTTAATTTAAGACTTTATCGTATTTCAAAATGTCACTATTGAAAATTGCACGAATATGTAATAGTTGCTATGATTATCACCGTTTGCCTGCGAAAAGCGATTCCCCTAACACAGATTTCAAAGTTGAATTCCATCCGGTCTCACCAAACAGTGTTTATTCAATCATCGCGTGGTGAGTGGTGGTATTCTCCAGAACACAACGATAGGCTCCCCACAAGCAGCTAGCTATCAAGGCAGGCCTCAATCGCTGATCGGATTCAGTTCCAATCACCGTGTGTGGTGGTGTCCGGTCGTCGGCATTACCAGCAGCAGCAGTGCTTTCAGCGCGTGGCTGCAGCCCTCATGAGCATCCATAGAAGGAGTAAGAAGCCGCACCGCTATTGATCGGAATCTGTAGCTCTTCGTGAGTCGCTGTGGGCCATCTATGTCAAGTGCGTCATACACACCAAACTTCTTAAATTATGTTCGGTACTTTTTTTGCTGAACTTAGTCTGTAAAATACAATTTTTACCGATTGTTCTGTAAAATACGGTGTTTTACCGCTTTTCAGCATTTAAAAGTGACGAATTTCTGTAATTTACAGAAAATTACCGTAAACTGTAAATAAAATTACGGATTGAACCTGTAAATGGCTGCAATTCCGTAATACTGTAAAAAACTATTACGTATGTACAGTAAAAATAATGTTTTACAAAACAAACTGTACAGTTAAGTACGATATTTTTGAAAAAGTACGATTTGTGAATTACGTGCTGTCAAACTTATTTATTGCCCACCTTTTTAAAGTTGGTTATGACTCGTTTCTCCGGTGTTATAAAGTGCGCAATTGAAAGTGTTTGAAAAATGAGTAAATACTCCAACAAACTTAAGCTTTCGATGGAGGAACAGAAGATCTTTTTCGTTAGTAAGTAAAATTAAAACAATTATTATTATTTTTATTATTAATTTCGATTATATTTTTTAGATGGTTCTCGAGATGAATGAAGATCCCATCATGTGTTTTTCCTACGGTCAGCTCGGGCACCACCTCCATCACCATCCATGCGCTATCAGCATTTGTGTTCCCTGCAGAAGTGAAAAGATGCATCGGGAAAATGCATCCACCGAATATGAACTCTGGGTACCTTCATGTTCCAAATCACAATGCTGTTAACAGTTTTCCGACACAGACGGAAAATGCATGCATATTAAAGACATTGTAGCTAATAACATTCGTAGAAAAAAAATATACCAAATAACCTATTTATCTTATTGTTAACTTCAAATTTGAAAAAAGAAAAAATACTCCATGCATCCATAAAAAATGCAGTAACAAAATAATCGGTAATTTTTACCGAACAAATTTTAGATCGACCGGTAAACATTTTAGAGCATTTTCGGTAAAAATTTACAGAGCGGTAAATGCAAAATTTACAGTATGTATCGGTAAATTTTGACAGCTCAGCTGAATATGAATTTACTGAATGTACTGTAAAACATAAAAATGACCGAATCGATTACCGAATGTTCAGCTGTTCCATATTCGGTAAAAAATTACAATGTTCTGTAAAAAAATCTTAGTGTGTACTAAAGAGTATAAATAGAGATAACCCCGCTCAAATTCCTATTCCTACACTGAGGTAAATAAAATTAAGAATTTCATAAGGCTCGACTTATGAACAACACATGTGAATTTCATAAGCGTGATTTATGAATAATTTTCGGGTCACATGAGGTAGCTCTTATACGGCTTTAACAATTGCATTTTCCCAAGCGTGGAAATACGAGTGGTCAACACACGGGCCCCGTAATCTCTGTTCCGAATTAATTATTTTTTTGCCAACATTATTTTTCATAAAGCAAATCAATGAAATTCATACTGATTTCTTGTGGCTAAATTTCATAAGTGTTTTTTATAGAATTCTTACGTTCTTTTGCCTGCGTGTACACAAAATACAAGCTCCTATTGCAGTTAACAAATAAGATTTATTATATAAGACCACGTTGTCCCATAGAGGTAACTCTAAGACTAGAAGGTCCCGAAATAACGTGCTCACCTTTTTGGCTCAGCTCTGGTAGTGGCTTCGGTCCCAAGCTAATCAATTCACCCCTCGAAACATAGGAAAAACCAATAACCCCTCATTTTATCTGTCAAACTTTCATAGCGAATCAAAACAAACATTGCGTAGTAATAGAATTTCGACTAGAATGGGGTACGTTAATCGTTAGCTTGGGACCAATAGGCTAGTCAAGTAGTGAGCCAATTTTAAATCGTTAGTTTCGTATTGATTGTTGGTTGTCCTACGTGACCATTGCGTACAACCCCATAGGGCTGTCCCTTGTAGTTTTTTGTATGACCGGCAGCTAGTTGGCAAACCGATTTCGTTAATGAATATCGAGAATAGCAGCGGTCCCAAATTGCTGCCTTGAGGAACACCTGAGTTGTTTGAAAAATATTCCGATTGATCAGAGCCGATTTTCACACAAATCTCTCGCTTGGTAAGATACGCTTCAAACCAACGAGTAAGTAAAATGGCATGATCAACCCGGTCGAAAGCAGCCTTGAGATCCGTGTGTACGACGTCCACCTGTGCTCTTGCCTCCATATTCCGTAGGCATAGGGAAATGAAAGGAACGAGGTTTGTTGAGACCGAAGGTTTGGGGTGGAAACCATGTTGGTCAAGAGGAATGAGATTTCCAACGCGAAGGAAACACACCTTGTTGTAATGAAATATTGAACAGCTTTGAAAGCGGAGAGGATAGCTCTGTTGAGCATATTTTGAGTATGCACGATGGAATGCCATCAGGTCCAACTGCGTTCGAGAATTTCAGCTTCGACAAGGTCCAATGTGATCGTGAAAATATCAAATCTGAACGCGTATCTGGGAGTATCTTCGATCCTTTCGGCAACTTGGCTTAACGATGCCGTTGAGTCGTTGAAAACACTCTTGAAATGCTCTGGTTACATTTTTCTCAACCGGTAGCGCATCCTCTTTCCTTCTTGTCTTCACAAACGTCCAGAATAGCTTAGGATTACGCCGGAGATTGGTCTGCATACGTCTTGAGTACTTCTTGTGTAGAAAACGTTTGTACATTCGATAGCCATTACTTGCTAACGAAAATAATCGCTTAGTGAATTGATTACGGGACTGGCTGTATTTGCGAAGAGCCTGCGGTCACACACGCTTTAAGTGTTGTAATCGAGCATTAGACCATGTAGGATTTGGAGGAAGTCCCCTCAGAGGCACACAATCCAATAATAATCGACTCATCAATCGGCTTCATCAATGGACGAACACAAGTCAAGCGACTGCCAATCTACCTGGGCCAGGGAGTGATTCAATGCAACGAAGTCAGTTCTACGAAAGTCCAGGCTTTGTACATCAACGGTGTCTCCATCTAATGAATTGATGAAAGCTTCCAACGCTGGGTGATCGGCATCTAGATGTATCACAAGATCAAGCGGCCGAGAGTTTCTGTTTGTTACAGAATTAATTTACGTTAAACCATGCAAAAGAGCACCTCAGGAAGCAGGTATGTACGACCGAAGAATTTCAATGGTTAGATTACCATTCGCGGAAATATTCCAAACTCGATTCCAAACAAGCCCGTAGAGTCCTAACTTATAATATTGAAAGGTAATATTTAATTCAGTGTATTCATGCTGAATCCAACAACAGCATCGGTGTGCTGACAGCTACTACAAGAGTATGTGTTAACATACACACTTAGATTTTTTTGCCGAGATGGGCACCACCGAGCAGCTCGTCATTTTATTTTGCTGGAAATTCAGCAAAAAATATGTTTGTTAGCTGAGATTTCGGCAAAATTCCCGTTTGTTAGCTGAATCTCGGCAAGTTTTTCACTGAGATCCAGCAAAATAGAATGCCGAGCTGCTCGGTGGTGCCCATCTCGGCGAAAAAATCTAAGTGTGTACGTAACTTCCTCGGTAACTTCGAACTAGATCTGGCTGGAACACGCAACTGTCATGGTGTGGGTGTGAGCAAGATATACGTCGTGGGAGCGCGTAATTGGCAAATCAAAGTTGGCACTCGTGGAGAATAGAAGAACTATGAAAGTGATGATGGTTTCAAAATTTTCCAAGGGGAGGTATACGAGTGCAATCTTAAAATGCTTTTATTTTGCAAATGGAGCATTTTATTTAAATCTGGTTGCTGCTACAGTGGTAGAAAAGCTGAAATCTATGTATTCTATATTATGTCTATTGAGTAGTCTTAAGTTTTCTACTAACGTAGCATTAACCAGATTTAAATAAATTGCCATATATGTTTCGAGGAGTGATTCGATTAGCTTGGGACCGAAGAGAGTACCAGAGCTGAGCCAAAAAGTTGAGCACGTTTCTTCGGGACCTTCTAGTCTTAGAGTTACCTCCATGATTCTACTTTGCCTCCATTCTACTTATCTATGGAATCTATAGTATCTACACTTCAGATTATTTCTCATCAAAGATATCAAGCTGAACAATTCATTAGGTCCATTTAGTAACATTTATCGATTCTCTTCATCGACTTTCTCTTTGGTTAATAACGTTTTTAGTCGTGTTTGTCGTATCAGAAGCTAGATAATAGACTGGAGAGTTATAACAACCATCACCATCAAGATAGCGCTATAACATGTTATAACCATAGAGGTAACTCTAAGACCAGAAGGTCCCGAAGAAACGAGCTCAACTTTTTGGCTCAGCTCTGGTACTATCTTCGGTCCCAAGCTAATCGATGCACCCCTCGAAACATAGGAAAATCCACTAACCCCTCATTTTATCTGTCAAACTTTCATAGCGAATCAAAACAAACATAGTGTAGTACTGGAATTTATACTATAAGGGGATACGTTAGTCGATTTGCTTGGGACCAATAGACTAGTCAAGTAGTCAGCCAATTTAAAATCGTTAGTTTCGTATTGATTGTTGTTATAACTTTGTAGTCTGAACGAACTATTCAGACTACAGAGTTATAACATGTTATAGCGCTATCTTGATGGTGGTTTCTGTGTTGCAATTATTTGACAACCGTTATAACATGTTATAACTCAAAACCAACCATTGAAATGGCCTTAACTTCATTTTGTAAACAAACCTTGTTAGGCCATTTTCTCGCGAACAGAAGTTCGCAAAGGCAAACCAACATAATGAACAGGTAGGGAAAATTCTTCTCTACCCGATTGTGGTTTAGGTTTGCGAATGAAGCAGAAAATGGTCTTACAAGGTTTGTTTACAAAATGGAGTTAAGGCCATTTCAATTGTTGGTCTTGAACTCTCCAGTCTGCACAGCATTTTAGCTTCGATTACCTAAAATTATCGGTATTTTTTACCGATAAGTATCGTTACTTTTTACTTGAAATAGGCTATTTTTACTATATATTAGCTAATTTTTAACGTTAATTATTGGTAATCCATGATTACCGATAATTAAGGTATGTACACTTTCTTCGATTATCGGTAATTTCTACCGATATCTAGGTATTCTTTACTAACTTTTAGGTATGCGCATCTTGGCGTGCACAGAATTACCGGTTCAATCGGTTCAATGCACATTAATTTAAACCCCCAACCTAATCCCTAAAACAAACCAGCACCCACTGGGCATCTGTGAGTGTTTGGACGTCTTGAATTGACAGCCGCAGCTGTCATTTTTGTCATCAGATGACGTCTCTTTCAGTGCTGTTGGGTTGGCAACGGTCTGTGATCGGTCGTCGTCGTGTCAGAAAGAGCCTCGCGAAGAAGAAAGAGCCATCGTCCGTCGTCCCTCCCGTATCACTGCGCTGCATACCAGTAATCAGTCGTCGTCGTCAGTCGCGAAGAAAAATCTCCATTGAAAAAAGTGTCTTGAATTAATTGGAAACGCGATTAATTAGGTGGTGCGTCGCGAAAGAAAGAACTTTTTCTACGAAACTACTAGCTGCCGTCGTCGTCGGTCGCGGTCGTTCCAGCTATACACGGAGAGTGTGTGTGAAAAGAATCGGAGTATATTTAGTGCGAAATCTGTGGCTGAATTCGAGTGGCCTACCGAGAAAGGATTTACATTATCTGCTTCGGATCGAAAGGGAGAGAGAGAGCTTCAATAGGAGGAAATGTCCGCATCCGCGATGAGTCCCGAATAGTAAGTGTAGTTTGCTGGGCGAAAAATTTCTTGCTGCTGCTGACTGCCCATTTTTCCACGTCCCTCTCATCCCCCGCCATGGTTCCATTACGCCCTCCGCTCCGACCCGCGGAGTACTCTTTTTTCCTGCCTGGTAATAGTGTTGATGATGGTGATGACGATGACGACGTTCGTCTCTGTTACGTCGTTGTAGCGGATCTAATGGCAACAAAGGCCTGGAGAAACCTGGCTGAGAATTGAGTGAGATGAATCAGAATCGAGAAAGTGTTGGACGAAATGCAGTTTCCTGCCGTCTACCCATGGACGGTGAAAACTCCTCCAATTTTGTGTGTTCAACAATCGATTTTGATTTCACACTGCTGCTGGTGCTGCTGCCTGTCTCGATGGCTAGTAGTGTGTAGTTGTGTTCCGCACTAGCTAGAGCGAGACGGAGAACGAGAAATAAGCCACCGAAAGTGATATCAGACACAAAACACTCCAGAGCGCCTCTCTGGTGGTTGGTGTAGCCTTTTCCGTATCCATTTGGGGGTATGCATTTGCTACACGGGGAGGATTAAGCTCTGCCAGTTGATTTGATAAGCTGTTCTACTTTGGGTGACATGTGAAGCAGGATGTACGCTGGCAACAAAGGAAATTCCAGAACGTACGTACAGAGTCATTTTTGCGACTCCTGGGAGCCATCATCGTCGTCATCGTCATCGTCCAAGTGGTAGTAGTCATCGTCATCGGTTGCAGCTGAGTGTGCGTGAATGAAATGAGTCACTGTAGCCTGCCTGCCTTCCTGCACTGTTGTGTGTCTTCCATCGGTCCCAAAAACGACACCAACAGCAGTGCCCCGCGCTCTCGCTCACACTCATTAAGCTGATATACGTATTACAACACATAACATCACCATCATCATTGGAGCAGTTCTTACTCATCCGTTTTTTTGATAAAACTTCCTCAGTAGTGTGCTGATTATTTGTTTTACTTCGCCAGCATTCTCGGTAACGAGCACTAGAATTTAAATGGCTCAAGAGTGGCTCAAATGTATTGGCTGTAGCAGTCCGGTCAATCGAAACTAGTGGCGATAATAACAATAACAACACGAAAATGGGCACCATTGCAAGGTCTTCCTACCGTTTCGCTATGGTCGCCATAATATTATGCGACGAACTTCTAAAAAATACTTCCTCAGCGTGACATCACTCACCCTAATGTATGTTGGCGGAAATGCAATCAGTAAGAGGTATGCGTTAACATCTCAAAGGCAGATTGGAATAAGCAATAATACTTGAAAGTAGCATGAACAACGGTTTTCCTCTGCTCAAGCCGACACCATTAACCGTACTTCGCATTGTTTTGAGAGTATAATTCCAAAGGAAGTTTTAGGGGAATTACAAGGATATTTCCTAGGCCATCTCGAAAAGAGTTTTTAGATTATTTTAAGGAGAATTCCAAGAAAGTTTGAAAATGAATTTAGAGGAGAACTCCGAGATATTATTCTGAGGTGAATCGCACGGAAATTCTAATGAGAATTTAAGCAAATTTAAAAAATAAATATATAGAAGTTTCAGTGAACCAAATTCAAAGAGTGAATTTGTTGGCGTATTCTGTAGAGAATTTCTGGTCTGGTACGTTTAAAGAAATCTGAAAAGAACTCTGATGGGACCTGATTCTAAAGGAAATACTTGAGTACAATCTAATAAAATCCTGTTAAGGGTTTTGAGCGAATTTTCAAGGTAGTTAGACAAATGTTGATGATTTCGAATGCAAAACCAAATTCAAAATTCAGGAAAAATGCTAAGTAATGACCCATTTAACCTTGTAATTGCTGAATGATGTAGTCATGTTTAAAAATACGCTAGTTCTCGATTCCTTTTACGAAGGGACGTATCAGCTTTTGTAAACAATGCATTTGATCGTCGATTTGGCGTAACTGGTAGCTCGTCCACGCATACTTACACCACTATCAGGTAGGGTAAAGTTTCTTCTATCTGATGGTAGTGTTAGTATGCGTGGGCGAGCTACCAGTTACGCCAAATTGACGATCAAATGCATTGTTTACAAAAGCTGATACGTCCCTTCGAAAAAGTAATCGAGAGTTGGTGAATAGGTTAAAAGTGAGGTTACGAGAAGCCACTGGGTCATAGATAAATGAACCGGTCGGATTGAATCGATGTATTCATTACCCCATTGAAATTGGGTTGTTTTCAATTCATAACCGGGAATTCAAAAATTAGAATGGACACCCTGCGATCATCAAAAATTAGCCCAACAATAGTTATTCGATAATCGATAACAAGACTATTTTAGACATCCCTAATATCCCACCATCTATATTACTGTGAGCTGTGTCTATTTGATGTTTTCGTTCGCCAATAATGGTTGAGTTGATTAAACTTAAACATTATCTTCATATGCCTGGAAGTCTCGATTTGCCTAATGTGTGTCAGTAAATCACGTGATTTTTATTTTGTTCGCGGGGGCGACCCAGGCGTAGTGTTTAACATCCATACCTCTCACGCCAAAGTCACGAGTTCAAATCTCACCCCCCGGACAAGTCACGAATGACCAAGTGTGTTAAAGTGCAAGGTTAAAGTGACTATAATAATTAAAAAAAAAAAATAATAATTTCTCTAATGCTGCTGCTAGTTTAATCGTAGTGAGGAGTAAAGTTAAGGTTATAATGGCATTAACGCATATGCGTAAATTAAGGCTCAGATACCAATCCGATTTTATTAAGCATTTGAAGATACGATATTAGTGTCATTGGGAATATCGGCAAGTAGATAGTTGTATTATAAAAGGGGATGTATATACACCACGTGAATACTTTAGAAGGGGGAGGTCGGCGAATGTTCACGGTCCATACAAATTGCTAAAATGATTTATAACTCCCTATTCACCTACTGTAAAAAATAGTAAAATTAAACAAAACTTCTTTCGCTCCTTACTGTATACAGTGTTTGTGCTCAATTTTGCCAGCCACTCTCCCCGTCTGGTTTTTTGACGTAGAACTAAGTATTTGTAGACTATATTGGTGTGGAAAAAAATGTTGCGAAATAGTGTTAGATTTTGAACACGTGTAACATGGTCATTTATGAAGGAAATTAAATTTTAATTACACCATTTTATACAGAGTGAATATAAGATTTGTTTGGAATAAATAAGATAGTTGTTTATCAATGGGTAACCATTGAAAATGATCAATGTTTTTAGCCGCAATCAACCAATCTCATGCTCGCTCGCTATAGCTATAGAGAGAACAAAGAGGAGAGCCTCAGTCCGCATCGTGCTCTCTTGCCGTGCGGATCTATTTGCTTTTTGCTTAAGGAAGTGTTACTACTACCTAAAGCTACAACAAATTTAAACAGCACTTTTCAGTGCTCAACCTGTAAAAATTTTCTACCTTGTTCAACTTAGGATTGGGCGATCTTCAGAGAAAAATCGATCTTGACGGATCGATCTTATATTTGACTCTAGAATCGACCCACTGATTAAATCAGTACCAAAGAATCGATCTTTGATAGATCGATCTTTTGATTTTTATTTCAATACGCTTGTTTACGTTGGTACCCCAATAAATTATTTCCTTTATAATATTCAATTAAATGTTTTCGTGACGGTGAGGGGCTGTTCATTAACTACGTAGACAGTTTTTTTTTGGGATTCTTGAACCACCCACCCCCTCTCCCTGTGCATATCATTTTTTTTAAATTTGTATGGGCCGTGTTCCCAACCCCCATAACCTATCTACGTCGAGGGGGACGACTCTATCTACGATGCAGAAAAGATTGTGTTTTGCTGTGGCTAGCTGCGCGCACGCTGAGTAGATAGAAAGAAGATTGATGACGATTCTGAAGATTTCCTGCAAAAAGATGATGCTCGATGCAAGTAGATGCGACAAATGAAAGAAGATTTTTCGAAGATTGATTCGCAAATAGGGACGTCATTGTAGGGAGCGATGCTGATGTTGACGTTATGTTCGTTAAATTTACTACGCAGTCTGTGGTGAGAGTAAATCGTTTTTTCGATGTAAATATTCTTTACAAAAATTTGAAGATCGAAAGAAGAGATCGATTTTTTTAATCTTTTCGTGGACAAAGAATCGATCCGAAAAATCGGAAATCGGGATGAAAAAGATCGATCTTCCAAAGATCGATCTAAGATCGCCCAATCCTAGTTCAACTCCTCTTATTCCTCTTCGATCCTTGTTTGGACCCTACCCGAGGTAATCCTTCTTGGATATCGATTTGGAAAATTCCTCTTCGATCCTTCAGATTCTTATAGTAATCTGCTTGGAAGTCGATTTGGATAAAAAATTTACTGCCGCCATGGCGCCTAAACGCAAAAGAAAGGGGCAAACTCTTGACCCCCCTTCTGATGAAATTAATTTGAGTAATCAATTTGATTTGCTCACGGATGATGAGAATGATCCATCATCCAAGAAAAATTCTAGTAAACTTTCCCGGCTTAATGCCAAGAAGGAAAAGATTCCCCCTATTGTGATAACCACTACCGATTTCCATGCTCTTCGCATGGAACTTTTGAATTTCGTGAAAGTTAAGTTTTCACTACAAATTGGACGTCGGGGTGAATGCCGTGTATTGGCTGAAACCTTGGACGGATTTAAATGTCTTCTCAAGTATCTTACTGAGAAGAAGCACAAATTTTTTACTTACGACACCAAAACTGAACGTGTGTTCAAGGTTGTCATGAAAGGACTGCCCAGTGGTGAATCCCTGGATCAGATCAAAGATGAACTGGCAAAATTACTTGGAGTTGTGCCACTACAAGTAATCAAAATGAAAATGAAATCCCGTCCTGGCGATTCGCGCAACGGGATTTCTAATGATTTTTATTTAGTTCACTTCAAGTCTAGTGAACTAAACAACCTTAAGGCCTTAGAAAAAGCTAGCCTTATGCTCCATGTCCGAGTGAAGTGGGAACACTTCAGGAAGACTGGAGGAAATTTCCAAAACCTCACCCAGTGCCGTAAGTGCCAGGGATGGGGTCAC